AATAGACCATCTACTCATGCAGACCATCTAGTTTCACAAACTTCTCTATGTTTTGCTCTTGTCGTATCCTGATCACAATGTGAATAGAGCATCTACTCATGCAGACCATCTACTTTCACAAACTTCTCTATGTTTTGCTCTTGTCGTATCCTGATCACAATGTGAATAGAGCATCTGCTCATGCAGACCATCTACTTTCACAAACTTCTCTATGTTTTGCTCTTGTCGTATCCTGATCACAATGTGAATAGAGCATCTGCTCATGCAGACCATCTAGTTTCACAAACTTCTCTATGTTTTGCTCTCGGCTGAAGCTCTTCTGATCATTCTGGCTTGTTATCTAAGCTCTCAATATAATGTTCCATGCATTTGACTAAATAAGAGAAAGCATCTCATCACTTTCCCAGCTGATTTTTCCAAGCCCGTTCCCTTGGCTGTGGTTTCGCTAGATAGTAGATAGGGACAGTGGGAATCTCGTTAATCCATCATGTTCCCATCATGTTTCATACAATTTGCTAAGAAAAAGCATATACTATTGACAGATTCAAACAATATGCATGACATGAACATAAGTAGCATTTGGGATATGATTTCTGATCCTGGCTTGAACACCACAATGTATACCACTCGTGTTACCGGCCCAATCATATCCCTTGTCCACGTATCTTGTTCATTAGGAGTGAGTATATTATCTTATTAGTAAGCTGCTCTCCACTTGTTTCATCAGCTCTTTCAAATCCTAAAAAATTTTTTCATGCAGAGATTACCATTTACATTTTCAATAGATCTTAACACATAAAGAAATTTGTTCCTGTGTGGATCTGTCTGTTGCCTTGTCTGCTATCAACAAGAAGTATGAAGATTTGTTAGATTTGCTCACAATGTGTGTGTGTCTAGCTCTGGTCTCCCAAAATATTTATCATTTTGTTTTGAAATCATGGAGACAAATATCTGCCTATCGGGGAGCACTTGTCAAATGCCTTGCCAGAATCTCATCAGTTTTAGCATGATAATTCATGATGGCCATAAAGTTACTCTCATCCTCTGTATGTCCCCTGAGTGGTATGTTCTGTTTGTCACACAGTGCAACAGTCTCAAGAAAATGGACTACAACAGTACAGTTTCGATTAACATTGTCTTTTCTTGTTGATTAAGACACTGTTGAATATCAGGTTGTCTATGTCTCTTTCACATTCTTCAATAACTAAGTCTTGTATCTCAGGTGTAAGTTCTCTCAAGTTCTCTTTAGCTAGGAAATTTTCTGTCTGAATTGTACAACCGTGGTGAAGGGAACCAACCTGTATATGGCAGTTTATTGCCAATGATATATTCTTCCAGTCACTGACAGGAGACACAGAAAATATCTTCTTTCTTTTCTCTTCCAAACAATAAGCAATAGCAACATATAACACTGTCATTTCTTCTTGAATATTCCAATCAAGGATTATTCACCAACAGGTTGTAGTTGAAACAGAAATTTTTTGTCTCCAGAGTTCCTAAAATTAATAAAAGAAAGACCCAATGCACAGTTTGCCAGAAACAAATTTTATTGTTTAAGTACTTGTTTGTTTATTTAATAGTATGGCTTACAGGACTGAGTACAGAGTGAAAATTAGACTAATATATTTTTTTATAGTGTAAATGGTAATTCTAAATATTATGCCAACAGAATTAATATTTTCTATGTGGATTGTTGGCAAACTAAAGTGTTTGCTGACTGTCATGCTAGTTATTTCAGAAACCTAGCTAGATCTATATACACATGTATGTTCTATGTAATTCCAGTCCATCTCTGGTTTAATCAACTTTCTAGGGCCTATCCCACTCTGACTATAAAACAATAAATAGTGACCTAAATGGAAAATCATACTTGTGTACTTCTTCCCAAGATGCATGCAGAAGTTTCAGGTGGCCTTCACTGGACTGCAGACTTGAGTGGGACATTTGTGTAACTTCTTCCC